AAGGGAGCGGACGACGCGGCAGCGGCTCCGGCCGGCGCGTGGGCATGGGCCGTGGTGCTGCACTTCTTCCTGGTGAGGAGAAGAGCAGCTCCCGAGGCTGGAGAGAACCCCGGGGAGCGGCTCCTCCAGCAAGGGCCTTCCCTGCACACGTGGAGGGGACGATAGGACCTACAAAATTAAGCTATAGCTACAAGGTGGTGGGGGCTTTGCTATAAGGATGGGGTGGAATATCACAGGTTGACCTTGTCCTTGCTTCACTGCAGGCCAAGCAGAGACCAGTTGCTGCCTTCAAGCACAGTCTCAACTGTCCAGCCATACAGAGTTATTTGCTGCCAATTATTAACTCGGTTGCTGTAGGGGAGGCAGGAGATGTTTGGAAATTATTTGAGGACAAGCACTGGCCTTTGCGCTTGGGGCAGGATTAGCCTGGGAAAGCTGCCTTAGCCAAACCCACACACGTGCCCCTCGGTACCGCATCCATCAGAGCACAAAGACCAAACGAAAACAAATTTAGTTTTTACTATACAAAACACATAACGGAGCTAATATGATTCACTCTTTTCCACGGGAAGAGCAAGTGTCGCTTACGTCAGGTTTGTACAGATGGGTCTTCAAGGCTTTTAAGATGAAACTCCAAGTGTGGAGAGCAACGGCCACCACGAGCCCTCTGCTGACCTTCTCGTGCCTCATGTTACATGAGCTCACTTGTCCCAGTTTGTCCCTTCCCTAGTGCAAAGAACCGCACACGTCTAAGGGACACACGAGACACCAGCCCACGCGGATCCTGCCCCCCCTTACCTCGCTCCCCTCTGAATTCAGGTGAACGTGCTCCTGATGGGAATGCTCAAAACCTTTGGAATTTTCTTCGTGGTCTTCCAAGAGGAGGTGGGAGGCTCCTCCGAGCAGATCAGCTGGATTGGCTCCATTATGTCCTCTCTGCGCTTCCTGGGAGGTGAGCGGGAATTCGGGAGCCACCTGGATTACCCCAAAGCCCCTTTGCCCCCAGACCTCAATACCAGGTGCAACGCGGTAGCCGCTGGCCTCGAGCTAGCAAAGCATCCCTCATCCAACCCGGAGCTGATCCAAACCTAGCTCTGTCCAAGGGCTCTCCTGCTTCCTTCCGCAGCGCCCGTGGTCGCCGTCGTGTGCGGGAAGCTGGGCGAGCGGCTCACCTCGGTGGCGGGGGCCGGCCTGGTGGCCGGGGGGTGTCTCATCAGCACACGGGCCACCAGCGTCCCCTTCCTCTGCCTCTCCCTGGGACTCCTCGCCGGTGAGTTGGCTGCTGCTCCCGGGATGGCCAATCTACCAGAGCACCCTCAGCTCCTTCAATGGAAACCTATGGTAGCACCTAGGGGAGTCCCCCTGCTTCCACCCATGTCCGAGTAGCTCCTCTACAAGGGAACACCATAAACCTCACCCTTGGAGAGGCTAAGAACGGATGTGCAAGTCACCCCCATCCATCAACCACTGACCATCCCAACTGCTCCACCACGCGGTCCCTTCCCGGGCATCTGGAAGGGATCTCCTCCTTCCCACCCTCGTTGCAGGTATGGGCTTCTCCTGCCTGTACCAGGCGGCTGCCGTGATGATGGCCAAATGCTGCAGGAAGCGCCTGGCTTTATCCAGCGCCATCGCCCGCTCGGGAATGGGGCTGACGTTCCTCCTCGCGCCCTTCACTCAGCTCCTCATCGACTTCTACGGGTGGCAAGGTGAGCCCAGCTCTCTCTTCTCTAAATTGGACAGCATTAAGAGGGCCTCCAAGAATGGATTTTACAAGAACACAGACAGCAGCTCTTTTCTAAAAACTGAGATTAGATGCACCAAGGAACAACTCGGCCTCTTTGGGGCAGTTTGGGGACATGACCTTCATTAATGATTAAATGCTCAACCAGTCATTAAGGTTAAATGGGGCATCAAACAAAAATTCAGAAAGCAAAACAGAAACCAAAAGTCACAACAAAAACTTGGCTGCAGGCGAGGCGGAAGCCCATCACGTGTAACGGGCTCCTAATGGGTGAAAACAGCACAGAAATTCTCACAGCCCTCAATAAGTGCTGTTTTTGTGTATCCCTATTGCACCAAGGAACCTCCAGCTAGGGAAGGCTCCTGCAAGACCACTTCCACCTCGTTGCTTGCTCTGTGTTTGGTACAAATGCTCTGAAATTACCTTCTCTCTTCACCCAGGGACCCTGCTGATCTTTGGAGGCATCATGTTAAACCTGGTGCCTTCCAGCATGTTACTGCGGCCCGTGAGCTCCCAGCCGCCTCAGACCCTGCCTGCTAAAAACGAGGAGACGAGGAAGGATTCGGAGAGCCGCGTTGGACCCTTGGATGAAGCCACCACCAGGGAGACGCAGCTTCAAAGCACACTGGACGTCCCCGCCGCGGGAGGGCTCAAGGATGTCCCATCGGGCAACCGCTCACGGGAAGGAGCCGCCGATGCCCGACGGGGCCACGAGCCGCGGGCTGGCACGGGGAACGCGCCGCCTTGCCTCGACGTCTCCCCGCTGAAGGATCCCGTCTTCTTCATCTTCACGTGGTCCTTCCTGTTCAGCCAGCTCGCCTACTTCGTCCCGACCTTCCACCTGGTGGCCAGGGCCAGGACGCTGGGCATCAGCAGCATGGACGCCTCGTACCTGGTCTCGGTGGCTGGTAGGCAGCAGAGCCCTGGGGAGAGGCCTTTAGTCGCGACGGGACCACAGGAGGAGAGCGGCATCCTGCCA